ACCACACCCAGCTAATTTTTGTATTTTTAGTAGAGATGGGGTTTCACCATGTTGGCCAGGCTGGTCTTGAACTCCTGACCTCAAGTGATCTGCCCACCTCATCCTCCCAAAGTGCTGAAATTCCAGGCGTGAGCCACCACACCCTGCCTGGATTTAATTCTTATATGCCACTCTGACTTCTCCTTATCTAATGCCCCAGAGTAGTTATCCCACAGTTTTTTAAATTAAATTAAAAGCTGGCATTCTTGTTATCATGACTAAGTAAATATTGCTCAGTTCTGAGCCATATGTTACACTATGATTACATTTCCTTTTTTGCTCAACTTTTGCTGTTTCCTAGAATTAATAATTGCCTTAGTTTTTTCTTTGCTTGATTTTCTGTCATCATTTTTCTTTAAATGCTCTGGCAGATCTGTCAAATGTCTCTTTGCATTGTTTTCAAAATGCTCCAATTCTTCAGAAATATATTCTTGTCTTTTTTCCCCTCTGTCCTATGGCTCCATCTTTCTGTTCCACTCTAGATTGTTTGTTTGCTAGGTCTGCTACAAAGCTGTTGTCTTAGAATTCCTCTTGTTACCACACTTCTGTGTCAGATCCAGGAAACAAGAGATTTCTTACCAAATTGATGCTTTTACATAGTTTTTCTTTGATAATTCCCCACCCGCATCCCTCCATCCCCACTCTATTATCTTGATTTTGTATCTTCTTAAATGGGTCTCTAATTTTCTTTCTTTTCTCTCTCCTATTCATTTATTTGTTGTTTTTTCTGGAATATTTCATGGATTTTCTCTCCCAAGTCTCTAATGCTTTTTTTTGAAGGGTTGGTTGTTGTATCAGTCATGATTAGTTTTGACTGAGGATAACAAAATTGCAAAATAATAGTGACTTCATCTAGCTCATACACAAGGATCCAGAGGTGGGCTGTCCTTGGATGCCATGGCAGCTCCATGGTCCTGAGTGACCCATGCTCCTTTATCATTTTCTTTACCATCATCCTTAGTATATTATTCTGTGATCCAACATGTGGTTGCTGGGGTCATGCCATTACATTTATATTCCAGGCACTAGAAAAAGGAGAGGGAAAAAGGGCAAAATGGTGAGCCTCTAAATTGAGTCATTTGGAGGAGGCTTCCTCAAAAGTCCCATTCCACACTTCTCATATTTCACTGGTTGGAATTTAGTCCTGTGATTACAACAAACTGCAAAGAAGGCTGAGAAATTGTTTTTTAACTGGTCGTATTACTACTTTACATAAAATTATGTGTTTTTTCTTTTTTTCCTAAGAAAAAAGGAGAGATAGGGTAGCAACTATCAGTCTATGCCACAGTTATCCAGTTTTTAATTTCCAGGACCTCTTGGTTGTAATCTAATTTGTCCCTGTCTTTTTTTTTTTTTTTCCTAATTTGAACATCATCTATTTTTGTTCTATGGGAACAATGGCTTATCTTCTGTCTCTGATAATATTATTTTTCTTCCCCCTTTAAAATTTTTTTCTGAGGCTGGACATAGTGGCTCATATCTGTAAACCCAGTGCTTTGGGAGGCTGGGGCAGGAGGATCACTTGAGGCCAGGAGTTCAAGATCAGCCTGGGAAACATAGTGAGACCCCATATTTACAAAAATTAAAAAGGAAGTTAACTGGGCATAGTGGCATGTGCCTGTAGCCCCAGCTACTCCAGAGGCTGAGGTCGGGGGGGATCTCTTGAGCCCAAAAATTCGAAGTTACAATGAGCTGTGATCACTCCACCGCACTCCAGCCTGGGTGACAGAGCAAAACCCTGTCTCTAAAAATAAAAGTGAAAATAATTTTAACAAGTTTTTCCGTTCCTTTCACTGTTCCTGTTTTCTTTAATTCTTTTCTCTTTGGTTTGGGCTCGCTCTCTCTCTCTTTTTTTTTTTTTTTTTTTTAAATCTTGGAGGCTTTTTCTGAAATGTCCATTGATCTTTTGACTTCTTTTTGTACTTAAAAGTGAAGTACTGGCTGGGCACGGTGGCTCACACCTGTAATCCAGCCCTTTGGGAGGCTGAGACAGGAGGAATGCTTGAGCCCAGGAGTTCAAGACCAGCCTGGACATCATAGCGAGATCCGGCCGCTACAAAAATTTAAAAATTGGTGAGGTATAGTGGCACATGCCTGTAGTCTCAGCTACTTGGGAGGCTGAGGTGGGAAGACAGCTTGAGCCTGGGAAGTTGAAGCTGCAGTGAGTGGTGATCGCATCACTACACTCCAGCCTAGGTAACATATTGAGACCCTGTGTCTGCAAAAAAATCTTTTTAATGAGCCAAGTGTGATGGCACATGCCTGTAATTCCAGCTACTCAGGAGGCTGAGGTGAGAGGATTGCTTGAGCCTGGGAGATTGAGGTTACAGTGAGCCATCATCTCACTACTGTACTCTAGCCTTGGTGACAGGGTGGGACTCTGTCTCTGTCTCTTTTTTTTTTTTTTAAGTGAAGTACTAAAAAACTGTTTAGAAGAGCTTTGTACATTAGCAGGGCTTGTTCATTGGGGCACCTTGTTGTAGAATAAGGAGGAGTGGGCTAGACTTTTTACTGGAGGACCCCCCAAATGTGAATATCTAGAGGTTTTCTCTTGGACTCTTCAGTATGTTCCTCTAGAGGAGGGTTCTGTAATCCCTTGCTCGAGGGACACACAGATAGGTACTTGCATTCTGGGAACAGGATGAGATGAGTGAGTTGGAGAGGGGTCGCACTGTTTAGGGTATAGATGTGCTTTTAATTCCCTGGCTCCAAGCTCCATTTCCCCACTCTTTGCTGTGCCTGCTGTGCCTGCTGTGCCTGCTGTGCCAAGCTTGGGCACTCTCTGGCTTGATTGTTTCAGAGGAAAGCCCCCTTCGGGAGGGAACTGGGCAACAGAAGGGTTGTTACTTGGCTTCATAGGCAGAGAAAAGGATCTTGGTGTACATCAAATATAGACCTCCCATCAGCCCCCTATACCTCACCACTGCTTGGGATGTGGTACTTCGTGGTCCTGAACCTGGTCTGCCAGAGTGAACTGGGCTGCTCCCTGTTAGCACCCTCTCTGGAGGCCCTAGGGCTCATTCTCCTCTGCTCTGCTCCGTCTGTCACCACTGTCACCTTTCCATCTTCCAGGGCTTGTTTTTATTTTTCCTCTCTCATTCTCTTTGTGTTTGTGGGTTTATGTCTGTCTCCTTCCTTTTCTGTCTTCTCAGTGGGTTTTCAGGAGAGACATGAACAGTCTGCAATGTTTAATCAAGGAAGTGGTGGCTGTCCAGTTGCCTAGTCTTAGAAACGTCATAGGTGTTGCTGACCATTCCCTGTCTCCCACTCCCTGCTGTCTTTACTTTGGTGCAGACCCTCATCATCTTGTACCTGGACTCTTCCTAAGTCTCCAAAATGCTCCCCCATCCCATTTCTCCCTCATGCTG